TGTGATTGAGGGCGGGTACAGGGTGCTACAGCGTCGAGACGTGCCACCAGTTAAATACGCCCTGCCTGGCTGGCAGGGCACTACAACGAACGGGAACAAAAGCAAAACAAAAATAAAAGCAAACTCTTCCACACATGGTCGCCAGATACATTCCTCAAGGAACTGCTGCGAATGCCACCCTCGTGAGGGCCTTCCCCGACGTCCCTGTATTTGAAACTCCGTTTTTTTTTCCTTTTTTTTCTTCTTTTTTCCTTTCTTTCTTTTTCGTCGGCCTCCAACGACACCCGAACCCCTGACAGCCCCAGCGACGCATGACCCCCCGCCACCCATCCATCCATCCCCAAACGATTCATCATTCATCAAAAAGACCCCCCCAAACCTCAATCGGCATCCACGACAAGCAAAGACAGAAAACGACAAAACGAACAGTGAAGATAACCCCCGAACAGCCCAAGAGAAGATCAACCCTCCACCCAAAAAGGAAACCCGGTCGCCCACAGCAACAAAGCCCAACGACCAAATGAAACAACCACTGGAAGTACGCTACCCAAAGCCTAGCACGACCACTCGCACTACCGGTCCGTCTTCTAGCTGCGACCACACCCTTTCCACTTTTCCCTAAACCCCGAAAAGACCCCGCCAAACCTCATTTGACGTCCACAACATTTCCCAAAAAAGCAACTACAGAAAACGACAAAAGAACAGTCATGGTAAGCGCAGCCTCTGGCTGCGAACTGAATGTCCTACTGAGTTCCCCGCCTGCTAAGTCTGTGTGTGTGTGTGCTTGCTGGACTGCATGTCTGTCTGAGTGCTGGTTGGTATGAGTGTGTGTGTGTGTGGCCCGCCAGGGAAAAGCACTCAAGTAGCGGGTAGGCCGGTACCGCACCCGGCAGGGGGGTAAATATGCAGGTACCGGAGGCCGAGAAGAAGAAGACAAAAGTGGCATTTTTAGAGGCCGGTAGTGTAGGCTAGGTCGGGTACCAGTCTGAGTCTAGGGCCTGTAGGGGCAATATCAGAGTCTGCAATGATGTTCCCTCCAAAAGAGGCGGAGGTACCGGTTGCTTGGGAAGGCCAGCGGCCTGGAAGTCACCGCCCAAGAGGCAAAACAGGCCGCTATATCTTCCGGCCGGGCGGAAGACCTGGCCTCTTTTTCGGTGTGCAAGTTTGGCGACACACTGGTGGAGCGCTGGAGGGAGCAGCGCTGGGTTGGAGCTGCGCTGCTGGGGAGGAAGAAGAAGGACTAGAGGGAGGAAGAAGGAGGAAGGAAAAAGGAAGGGGGAGGAGCGCCAGGGGTACTTACCTGGCTATGGTGGCAGCCATCTTCATCACCTTGGTGGGCACTGCAGCAAGGAGTCCCCAGCCGGGAAGAGCCACACCAAGAAGCTTCAAGGCAGGGTTGGGTATGGCGGCCTGAGCTTGGGCAGCCATAGCTGCTTTGGGTTGTCCTTTGGACATCTTTGGGTTGTCCTTTGGACATCGGAGAAAGGCCTAGTAGTCCGCCATAGCCTCGGCCTATGTGTGTGAAGAGTTGGAGAGGCGGCCATGGCTATGGTGGACCTTGAGTGACACCTGCAGTAGAAAAGGGACTCGGACATGATTCTGGACCAGTCATTCAACATTGTATTATTATTTCTTGTATGAATAAGAGAAGGGGGAGATAAGGAGGAGGAGATTGTTGGGCGCAGAAGAAGAGCCTTGTCATTGTCTTTGCTGGTGTACATCTTCTTCTTCTTCTTTCTTACTTCTTCTTCTTCTTCTACTCCTCTCTCCCCTCTCAAGTTCATTCATTTCTTTCTGCAATTGGATGGCATTGTACTTTCCGGTGGATGTGTATCTCGAAATTGGCCAGGGGTGAAGTCCCACCGCCCAAGTTTAGTTTAGAAAACGCAACCGTGTGACACCATTTTGACATTAATAAATTCGAACCAAAAACATTAAAAAACTGAAAAAAAACGCTAGAAACAGCTTTTCTCCTTATTTTTTATTAAGTAACTCGGAGAAATGAAGCACGTCTAGCACAGTCGGAGTGAATGTCTCCGTGGAAAAAGGATACTTCCCGTGGTGAGGGGACAGGAGGTCACCATTCGTTAAATGGACAGGGACAATATGGATGGCCAGATGTGTTCATTGCCCAAAGAAGGAAGAGAGTTTGATGCGAGAGAGCCAAACACAGCTGTCAGAGTTCCTCCGTTTCAGGGTGTAATGATATCTAAAAAAACAAAAAAAATGACAGGCACATACGTTGAGAAATGTACCCTACCCTCGGTAGGGTAGTTTTCTCAACGGAAAATGGCTTCCCGAGCAAACCAAAAGGGCCAACGCGCACTACAAAACGGATTTCACGTCAAAGAAAAAATCTACAAAATGACCAAATCTAATAGGTTATTCTCCTGTATTTCGGTACCCTTAGATTCTCAATACATCAACGGCAGAGCTCCGTCCCACCATGCCACACGTGATAGAAATCTCAGTGTTGAGAAAACTCAACTTGGGCGGTGGGACTTCACCCCAGGGTCATAACAGGTTGGGAGTTCTTTCAACTTCATTGTCTTCTTCAAATTTTTTTATTTTTTGTTTTTCTTTCCTTGTGTAATAAGGAAAAAATCAAGGGGAAAAAAAAAAAATGAACGTGTGTATGCGTGTGTGTGTGTGTGAACGCTGTCTCTTATACACATCTAGATGTGTATAAGAGACAGGTGTGAGAGAGAGAGAGAGAGAGAGAGAGAGTTCTCCAGAGAGAGAGAGAGACCAACAGGTAAGTCTCCAACCCTGCGGGTGGCCTCATGCTACTTCCATCGATAGGATGAGCAGAATCGAATGAATCTTCCAGTAGAATGTGTGTGTGTGTGTGTGTGAGAGAGAAAGAGAGAGAAAGAGAGAGAGAGAGAGTTCTCCAGAGAGAGAGAGAGACCAACAGGCAAGTCTCCAACCCCGCGGGTGGCCTCATGCTACTTCCATCGATAGGATGAGCAAAATCGAATGAATCTTCCGCTAGAACATGGAACTATACAGTACTACGTGTGTGTGTGTGTGTGCTCGCGGGGGGTAGGGCAAGGGGGGCGACCCCTCCCCCACCAATCACTCAATCAATCAAGCAACGAAACAAAAAAAAACGAAAAAAAAATGATAAGAATCGCGTAGTTTCCCCCCCCCAAAAGAAAATCATTTTCTTTTTTTATAATTTTTGTTCTTTGAGGGGTTGGGGCTGGGGTTGAGCAACCCCAATCCACTTCCCAAACCCCCGCCCCCCCCCCAACTGGCTGCCACGTGGCCGCGGCCATGGCCGCCTCCGTGGGAGGTTCATAGCAGGACAGTCGACTCCCAGAGTGTTCAATAAATTTGAAGTTTGAACTCTCTTTTTTTTTTCTTTTTTCTTTTTTTTAACGCTCTTCTATCTTCGACATGTAATGAACCCTGGCAGATACTCAGAAGTTGTCAAACATCAGCAGTCTCATTATCTGCATCAAAGTCTCCAAATCGTGAAGTGATATCTCAAACAGTATCTCATTACCATCAAAAGAAAAGAGTGGAGGGGGAACAGACAAAGGAGAAGATGAAGCGGCTCGTTCGACACTCCTTGGGGCGTCCTCGGAGCCCGAGGAAAAATTCCTTTTAGTCAAAAGGAAATTTGGAGAACTAGGATTTGAATATGGAACTAAGGGGCTCGTTCCACACTCCTCGGACGCGTAAATCCCCCGAGGAAATGATCGTTCCACTTATCCTCGGGGAAGAAATTGAAAAAAAAATGTGAAAACATTTCCTCGGGGATTCCTCGGGCCACAGCCATTTCGACGCGTTCCCCAAGGGACCTCCCGAGGTCCCTCGGAGGTCGAGCATCCGGAAGAATCGGGACGTCGTCGGCAGCTCTGTCGACGACATTTTGCGACGGCCGTCTGCACCACTGTTGTTCCTGGCGCCCGTGGACGGACATCTTCGATCGGCAACGGTCGGCGTCATGGAAGAGTGCGCCAACGGTCCCCTTTAGCGGCCCGGTCGCTTCCCCGACATCGAAAATCGGCTTTCTTGCGTCGCTGCCCTTGTCCCCGAGCGGGAAGGCGCCCAACGGTCGCAAGATTCGAATATTTGAACCGTCCCCCGACAGGGCGATTGCGCAATGTGTTCACAAACGGAATGCGTTACCGTGCTTTTGTCGTTTGTTGCGGTCAGGCGTTTGCAGCAGTGTCCGTCGCCGCTACGTGATAGATCCCCCGTTGTCTACTAGCTGCCACTGTCATCCACGTGCTTTTCATGGCCGACGTCTTTCGGAGGCTGCCGCTGCTGCTGCTGGTCGTCCTATTGCTCCTCCTCCTGGTTGTCTTCCACGTGTGCATCCTCGGCGGCCTTCCGCGCCGTGGTCGCAGAAGGAGGTGTGTGAAGAACAACGACAGAATGGAGGGCCGGAAGGCGATCAGCGGGTCCGCAGGGGAGCGCGGTGGGGGGTGGTCCGGGCACAGCCCATCGAATAGTCCAAGGCCGTCGGAGCGGTCCGGGCACGCGCACCTGCCACCGCACTTGCAACCTCTGCCTGACACGGACGACGAGGAAGGGGACGATAGACGGTCACGGACCGTGCCGCTGGGAAGCGGATCCACCAAGGAGTGGGCGGCTACAGAGCTGTTTGGAAGCCGCGACGGCGGTAAAGGGCAGTCGTACACCGAACTCCTCCAGCAGGGGCTCAGCGACACCGATGGCGATGGCGGCGTGAATCTGTCGTTTGGACTCGGCAGCGGGAGGTCGGCAGTCGTTTCTCGAACGGTCGTCGTGAACCCCCATCCCGACGACGATGGCGGCGACGTGACGGCTGTTCAGCGATCACCCAGGTCTCCAGCGCCGCTGCGGGAGGCTTCGGAGAACAACAACGATCCTCCTAGGCAGCAATTTCGATCGCCGTCTGTGTGTAGGGGTGCCTCCGCTCGCCCCCAGTGGATGCAGTCTCCGTCTCCCCTATCCGCCAGTTCGAGTGCAGGTCATCGTGTTGGCGAGTGTAGGGAGACGGCGCCTGCCGTTGCTGATGTTGGTGACGCACATGACGGAAGGGAGGTGTGGGGAGAACAGCGACGGTTGATGAGGTCAGTGCGGGAGGAGTCCATAACTCGGGGGGTGCAGCGATTGCGTGTTGGGGAAGACGGGCACAACGGCGAGGAAGCAGGGGCGGACGTGCACGACCCCGACTGGAACGACAACGGCGTTGAAGGTTGGGAGGACGACGCAGCCAACATTTCGCCGTCGAAGCAGGCGACCGCTATAGGAGGGAGGGGCGGGAAGACGAAGTCGTGTGGCGGTAATGGTCGTCGGGGCAAAAGGACAACAGGCAAGGGCAGCGATGCCGAAGGTGACGTCGATGGTGAAGGAGGTCGTCACTTCTGGTCCGTCGACGACATTATAGCCCTCATCCGGGCTAAACGTGATCAGGATGCGCATTTGCAGGGGATGGGCCACGCGTACGCTCGGATGAAGCCGCGAGAATGGAAGTGGCTGGATGTGGCGACGAGGTTGAAGAACGTGGGTGTCGACAGAGAGGCCGATCGGTGCGGGAAGAAGTGGGACAATCTGATGCAGCAGTTCAAGAAGGTTCATCATTTCCAAGGACTGTCCGGGAAACAGGACTTCTTCCAATTGTCTGGGAAGGACAGGATGTCGAAGGGCTTCAGTTTCAATATGGATTGTGCGGTTTACGACGAGATACTGGGGTCGACCGCCAAGAACCACACCATAAACCCGAGGAACGTCGCGGACACTGGCGCTCAGGGTAGTGTGCGTCTGTCGTCCGCCTCCTCTGTGGATCCTGAATCTGTGGGCGACGGGGACGGTGGTGCAGAGCACGACGACGACGACGACGGGTCCACCAAAGGTTTTTCGCAAACGACGGGTGGCGCAGGCGGTTTCGGCAAGAGGAAGAGCACAAGGCAGCAAACATTGGAGGCAATGACGGAGTGCATGGAGAAGCACGGGGCGTTAATGGCGTCAACGATGGAGAGCAACAACAAACGTCATTGCTCCATCGCCATACGTCAGTGCGAGGCGCTGGAAGCGGAGATCGAAGCGCAGAAAAAGCACTACGCAGCGTCAGACGAAGTCAGCAAGCTTATGTGTCACGCCTTGCTGGAGATAGCGAAGGCCATCGGCAAACGTTAGACGTAGTGTCGCCTCTGTTGTGCTCTCTGTTCGCTTGCATAGAATGGGACGGAGCGAAAGTGATAGTCTTTCCGTCGTCGATGTAGCTTAGCTTAGCTATCGCCGTCGTCGTCGACGTGTCGTTCCCCCAATGGCGGTGCTGGCCAAGGAATTGGGTACTGGTCCGATTCGGTGGATGAGTCCTTCGGTGAAATTTGTTTTCGTTTTTAAAATTGTTTTTTTTTTACATTATTCTTTTCGTTTGTTGTTGGCCTCGATCGTGTGACGAGACGGATGATTCCGTCAAACTCTGAATCGTAATTGGCATCGATGAAGTGCAGTATGCACTTTCCTTTTTTACATGACGACATCGATTTCGTTCTCTCTCTCTCTCTCGTTTCTTTGTGTCTTTGCCGTAAATGAAATGCAGAGGTGTAATAAAGGTGCTATCTTTAATGTCGTTGTTTTTCGGATTTTTTGTGTTCAATTGAAATCGGCTCCCTCTTTCTCTCCAGCGTGTGTTTCGGTGTATTCTCCTGAAATGAAATGCAATGGTGCCATGAAGGTGTTGTCTGTGCTGCCGTCCTTTTTTGGGTATGCATTTGCTAATGTTGTGCACACACCCAATTAGTCGTCGACTGAGTACAGGCGTACTAGGATTCGATCAAACGTCCCCCCCCCCACAACCGGATGTCGAGTCATGACAGGTGTACGAAATGCACGTTGTGTTGTGTGTTTTGTGTTGGTCTATTTACCTGTTTTCGTTATCTCGTAGATAGTCGGGTGGGGTGCTTTATTTCGGAGTTCGGGAGGGGGAATATTGAACCCGTCCAGGCGAATATGCATGCCATGTTGGGGGGTCGGGGTAGGGG